TATATAGCCCCTGTGCTCCAGCTACCTCTCAGAATCTTTATTCTTGACATCACTGACCTTTTTTCTTTTCCTGGTAAACAGGCTAAAATAAAAACCAGTGAGAACAATATGTAATGAAAGGAGACAACAAAATCTTATAGTGGGAATGCAGGCCCTTGACATACCTCTGCATGGAAACTCCAGTACACAGAAGATTATAGTTAGCCCAAAGGCAAAGGTTATTATTTTTAAGCAAGTGTGAGAAAAACCACAGAGGAACCTCCAAGATACAAGTGTAATCAGATGACCAGAGGGCATGGGGATCTTGGGTGTGACTCTTGGGATATGACACAGGGTAGCTGGCTCTTTGCTTTGGGTTCTTACCTAACAGCGTAGAAATATCTGACTTTAGGAACAAAACACAGAGCAGATGATAATCATAACAGTAACTGCCATAGCTATTAATAACTATTACCATTACTATTATCACAGATAACATTCTTTGAGTATATCCTGCATGTGGTAATTTAGTGCTTCATATTTTAATGTGGAAAACCTAATTAAATTATTGAAGCTCCTTCATTGTCTTTATCTCATGCTCCTATGACAAAATACCTGAGACTAGGTAATTTGCAAAGAACAGAAGTTTATTTTTCACAGTTCTGGAAGCTGGGAAGTCCAAGATCAAGGTGCTGGCATCTGGTGAGGGCCTTCTTGCTGCATCCTCACATGATGGAAAGCAGAAAGGCAAGAGAAGGATAAACTTCCTCCATAAGCCTTTTTATAAGGGCACCCAATCCCATTCACAGGGAAGGAGTCCTCATGGCCTAACCGCCTCTTAAAGACCTCAGCTCCTAATACTATTGCACTGGCAACTCCTGAATTTTGGAGAGAATACATTCAGACTATAGTACCTATGAAGCAGGTAAACCTATTATTCCCATTTTACGGAGCATAAAATTTTGCCTCAGAGTGTTTAAGTAATTTACTCCAAGTAATACAGTTAGAAAGTGGCAAAAGACTATACCTTTAATTTTGGTGCAATATTAGTTCCCTGCTCTATGTAGAGGTACGTTAATTTGTTCAAGTAACAAATTATATTGGATGTATACACAGAGCACTGGGGCTGGGGAGACAAAGCTTGGTACTTGTCTTCAGGGAGCTGACCAGCTTGTGGAGGAGAAAAGGGAATGGTGTGGAAAGGGATAATTACAGTAGAGAAGGGTCATCCTTCAATGTGGGTGTAGCCCAAAGCATTTTGAGAACAAAAAGGATCCAATCTGGATGGGAGGTATGAAGAATTATGAGAGAATAAGAAACCCAAATGGAGGTCTGGAGTACAAACACAAGTTGGGACAAGGAGAAGGATTGCTGAGAGGTGAGGGGCTTTCTCAACAAAGGTAGCTGCTGGCCCAGAGCCCAGGCAACCCCAGGGGCCAAAGCTCAGTGAGTGTTAAAGTACTGAGAGGGAAGCCTAGACTGAAAAAAACCATACAAGATGTAACTGTGCTCTCCTTGTCTCTATCTGGCCTGACTCCTCATGATTGATTACAAAGAGGAAATAAAATGTTGTCTTTGGACAGGAAGGCTCTTACATCTTGCTCTGTCAACTTTCCAGCTGCTCACCTGGCAGCTGGCTCTCCATGGAGCCCTTCCAACCTCACTTTGACAAAACAAAAATGTGTCACTCCAACAGCTTAGCCCATTTCTCCAAGGGGTGGTTGATGCTTATGGGAGGCTGCAGAGGAGCCCTTCCATCTTAAGTTATGGAACATAGGATACTGGTGAGGAGTGCAAAGCCTACTTGGTGTGGTTCTGCTTTTATTTGAGTAATATATATTTACGTATTGCTGGGACTGTATTAAACAGTACATTAGAAAAAAAAATGGTTCTGCTGCTAAAAAGAAGTTTAAAAACCACCAAGCAAGAAAATTACTTTAGCATCTTTTACAGCTCTAAAGTTTCTTGATAGTTTTATTGATGTGTTTGTCTATCAATCATTAAAGATTATCAGTAGTCCTTAATAATTCTTAAAAGTATGATAATAATCATCATGTTTCATATCAATGATATTTAATGCTATGTTTATGTAAATTATCTCATTTTATCCTCACACTTGTGAAATATATTATTATTATCTCCATTTCACAGATGAAGAACTAAGCTTAAAGAGTATGTTAGCTACCTGTGGCTGCATAAAAAATTTCCGCAATAATCTTTAATCGACTGTTAATAATCCTTAATAATCAATGGTCAACACATCAAGCATAGATTATT